TCACACCCTCTGAGCCGTAAATTGGGCACTTCCTTCGCTCTGTATTTCTGTAATAGCTCAAATCGCTGGTCCACAAGTGACACAAGATCACGCCACAAGGCAAGATGCTCTGACGTTAGATGATCCTCCACGGAGTGCTGATCAAAATCCATGCCTCCATGGACTGAGCGGTGGAGTGCCGGGAGAACAGATGCGTAAGCAGAGGAAACGGGGAGAATTTCTTGCAAGAAAATTGACATATTCTCGTCGATTTCAGCCGCGCCGTCTGCGTTGTCCTTCGAATCCGCAAGTCGCCGGAAGACACGACCGGCTGAGACGACCGCAGTGAGCAGCCCTCTGTGGAGCGCCTGCCGCCACGACACGGGTCACATGTTTCTCGAATGACACTAGTGAGGAGCGCGAACAGGCCGTTGGAGATCGTGATGTCGAGGCGAAATATACCATTGGCGCGTATTGTAACAGCGACGAGTGTGGGGAGGATGTCGGGGGCTGCGAGTAAGGCCGCGCGGAGGTGCGGGTTACAGTACTCAGACTGGTCGGTCGCACCAAAGATGAGTAGAGTCGCGGGGGTGTATAGCGACATCATATCCGGCATGTGTGGAGAAGGCATGGCCTCGCACGTGTTCCTCCACTGCGCCACAGCAGCAGCGACGAAGTTCCTAGGGCCTCCAACGCCGCGGATAAGCTCGGTCAGCCACTCTGGTCCCGCCTGCTGTATGCTGAACAGCGTGGTGGCCGAGAAACTTGGGATGCCGTGCTGATCGGGGGCGTGGGCCAACGCTTTCCAGGCGCGCCCCATGAACTGGAAAAACCCGGGAGTCCGATGCATCATATGTTGAAGGTCTGTCTGCCGCGTTATGTCGAGCAGCTGAAACAGAAGCTCTACCGCGGCGGCGTAGAAGGGAGACGGCGGAGGAGTGGATACACAGTGAAGATGGGAGGGGGGGTGTGGGTGGGCGATGTCGAGGAACTGTAGCCATGGCCAGATATTCCCCCAAAGCTGCAGGACCGCGGCAAGCGGAATAGGATTGTGAATGCTAAGAATGGACTCAAAGGCTCGCAACGAGACAAGTGTACGAGTGTACACTGATTCCAGCTCATCCACAGGCAACGCGTCGAGTGTTTCTAGAGAGGGTATGCGACTTGGCTCTAGTGCGCTGTAGAACACGAATGCAAGCAGAATCTTGACACTGTCTTGCACCTTGTCGTTCGCTATTGCCTCAGCGAGAAAGACCAGTTGCTGTGTAGAGCCCTGAAGGGCATCCAATGCTTTTTCCTGAATCATTTCACTGGTTAGATATTGGCAAAAAAGTAGTTGACGAACACGCAGATTGACGGGTAGCTTGCGCAGGGTCACCGGTGCGAAGTTGGGGTGGATGGACATGGTGGTTTGGAGAAAGTGTGCCAATCGCGGCGTCACAATCAGTGACACAGTGACGCCGCGCCACGGGTGATCATGATCTGACCTGGGGCTCAAATGGGCGTTTAGTTTCCTTTTGTCAGACTAGAAAAGGTTCGAAGAAATATTCGGTACTAGTAGATACCCCATTAACATGCTCCATGAAATTGTGCTTTTGTCTGTGGAGGAATGTCCGAATGACAGCCTGAGTGGCAGCGGTGCATAAGCAGCATAATGTTAACTCAGCTGTACTTTTGAAGTATATGGTCTCCGGAACCCATGGTATCTGTTCTTGCACAATCAAAGGTCCACCGGAGATTATATTCTAATTCGATTCTTTTTGACATTGAATTCACTTCAAGTTTTTGTAGTATGCCTTACAGTACATATGTGGGCACTTCTAGAATACTAGATCCGTTGTAATATCACCCTAAAAAAAGATACATGCAGTCTCAGTACCACGTAGAGCTGCGCAGCAGATAAGGTCTGCCCAGCGGTAAAAAGCCGGGCAGTGGAGCGTGCGAATAGTAGGTCACGTTGGGGGACAGTGGTGCGGTTTGGACAGGGTGAGGAAGAGCATAAGGGGAATATTGCAGGTGGCTATCGTGATGGGAATATGCTCGGATGGGCGTCTGTCGCTCGACCGTTCTGCCACGCTCCCATGGACTTGACACGGGCGTGGCGCCTGCGGCGTAGACACCAGCGAAGGACGTGTATGACGGGTAGGGAGTCTGAGGGGGGATCCGAGGCACGGTTGAGGGAGCAACACATTGAGGACGCGCTGCCATTGGTGCTCTGAACCGAGTTGGGTAAGTTGGGCCAGGCCTAGGCAGTGGCGAGCGGTACTCTCTGCTATAGAGCGAGGGACTTGGCGACAAGCCATAGACCCGGATCGAGGATGGCGGGAGGGCGACAACCGGAGTAACGCCAGCACTCCCTAGCGGCCCGGGCTGCTCGTCTGACATGAAGTCCGAATCATCGGCGCTGTCGTAGTCGGAAGAGCCAAGATACTGCACATCGTCGTCAATATCCATAAGTGGGCCGAGCCACGGAGATCGTGAAGAGCTTGAATGTGATGCTCTTCCTTTCCGCTTGGATTTCGTTTTAGAGCGCGATAACTGCCCGCGAGAGGAATACTTGAATCTTGGTAGACGTTTTTCGAGCCTGTGAATATGCAGCGCATGAGAAGGTCTTGCTAAATTCTATCCGCGAATATGGCTCACCCATGCCAAGAGTCTCTGCGACTCATTTGGCTCTTCTTCTGTACATCGTCCAGCACGATCCAGGACCTTTCGCGGGCCCCGGACCCTGACTGATTTGCGCGTAAAGGCGAAACGGCAGGCGGTAATGTCGACAGGGAGCGAATTGCATTGGCGCGATGGGTGGAAGAGCGAGGATAGAGGTATTGCTTGGTCAACAGCGGGTCTGCGAGTGCGGCAGCAGACGGGAGCGGAAGCATGGGCGAGAAGTGTACGGCGGGCTCTCTTGCGCGCATTGGGGGCGGTTAGACGAGGGCCTCAACTTGAAGATGGCGGATATATATCACTTCAGCCGCCTGAAAGCATGGCATCGCCGCCTTCGCTCCAGAATGGAGTAAGCGAATGGAAGAGGGTCGGTGTCAGCTGTGAAAGACCGGGAAACGAAGGGTGTCGGCTAGGTTTGGCGCGGCCACCGCTGACCGCACTGAAAATCCTGTAGCGGCGTCGTTAGCACAACCCTGAAACAAGCGACAGAAAGGAAGAGGAGGAAACGCAAGATTAAGAGAGATGAAAACCACGCTGAATCTGCATGTCAGGTCCTTCACAGCCCAGCAAAGAAAAGAGGGAAGCATTCCCTTGTGCGTAATATTAACGACCGTGTCTGGGACGTGCTTTGGCCCAAAGAAGACAGGAAATCGAGGCGCACTGTAATTTCCGCGGTGCACACTGCACACGTTGTACTTCATGCCAAAGAGCAAAATCATGCGGCGGTAAATAAGGCGTCGAAAGGCGGAATATGGAGCTGTCTCGCAGGACGAAAGAGGACAAATGTGCAACGTTGGCATTTCGAAAAGTGAGGCCGGGTCACATCGTAACATCCTTCTTGCCATTCTTCCTCTTCTCCACCACACGACGATCACCCTTAACTTCCACTCTCGCAACGGCCTATCCCATCACATCCCCGACACAACTGCTAACGCACGCGGGAAGCGGGGTCAACTCCTCCCCTGACAAAAGCAAGTAAACCGAGGCATTTTCCCGTTACCACTGACCGACCTTGGTCTAGGCGATGCCCCCAGTCTTATGGTTGCTTAAAGGTACATAGAGAGTAACATAGGGAAGTGCCAGAGGATTCTGGAGGGTTACTCAAATGCTCGGGTGCGTTTGCTGGCCCCCTTCTTGGGCCACGTTGCTGACGCTCTCTGGTCCCTTCAGCCGTGGTTGACGTTAAGCGCAAGTAACCTTGGACAACACTTTGGACACGAGCGAAGGGAGAGATGTGATTTTGGACGGAAGACGAGCACGTCCTTCGAGGCATAGGTATGCGGCTTCTTCATATTTTTTGCTTACCTGTCCTCGCACAGGACCGCGCGAGGTCACCTTACGCGTTGGACCTTTGGTCAAGAGCGAGGGGTAGCAGCCATCGCGACTGCATAAGGACAATAAAGAGCCGTGGTCGACCCAAAGGCCGAACGCAAGCGGTTTCGCTGGTACATTCGCCCGCTTGTAGGAAACATTACGGTTCCTCCCAATAACTCCTACGACGGCAACGACGGTGTGTGAGGCAAACCTTTGATAATGTCTCCACTCGCTGAGCTCTTCATTTCAGTCGTAGCTTTGCCATTGCTCTCCTTGCTTTGGCTTGCCATATCGAAACATCTTTGCGCCATTTACCGAAGTCTATCTTGACCTCCAACCACTTAACAACTCCATGGCTCAAGCTCGACCTGTTTCTCGAGACTTCGATCGCTGCAATGTAATTACGAGTTTTCGCCTTCGCTTCGCTTCCAGAGCACACCTCCGTTGCGCTGGGATAGCAAATCGACACAATCGACACGAATATAGGCGTATAGCACATACGCGCCGTTGTACATCGAAATTTCCTCCGCCTTGACCATCCCGAACCAACTTCCAAATACTGTGGCGCCTGTTCCAATGCCTCTCGTCCTATCCACCTTTTTCCCCCAGTCGAAGGTGTGTCACGCGTGACCGTGACACATTTTCAAAGTGAATCCGAAAACTCTTCATCCCCGCCCTCTGTCCTTCCGACAACTGTACCTCGACCTGACAACTCATTCATACTCTTCATCCAAAAAATTTCTCGTCGAATTACGAACTTGAAGGCAGTTGTCGAACGCCTTTTCATATGGCGCTTGACTTCGTCGTGGGGAATGTGCGGAAACTTGCAAAATGCCAATTTTGCTCGTTGGTATGGCGGGGTGTTGGGGAAACCGGGCCAGGGCAGGGCTATGATGTTATTAGAGCAGCGTATGCTGTCCTAACACCATTGCAACGCAATTCTCAGTGCGAATATCGTAACCGAATGATATTTCGACTTACAACACTGGTTTGAAGGACATGGGAGGCATGGTGCTTGACGGCAAATAGCTGTATATAGAAAACTACCGCGCGACAGTCAGCAAAAGATGAATCATCGCAAGCGGACATTGCTTACTTGGAATAAACAGTCCCCAATAGGTAAATGCGATTCTACGGCAAATTAGATGAGGATTCAGGGACAGGAGGGCCGCTTACCCGGCACAACAGATCCAAAAAGGCACATCCATAAGGATGGCTTTCACGTCCGCCTCTTGTGGCCGCGGCTTTAGTCGCGTCCGCATAAGGAGATTTGCCATGATCAAGAGTGCGAGGTCCAGAAATGCTACCGTCCGCACAGCCCAGCCGAACCCCCATCGAGGAAACGTGTGGTTGAGAATGAGAGGGTAGACGACTGCGCCAATTGGCGCGCCAGAGAGGATGATTCCGACAGCAAGGCCGCGGCGGCGTTTGAAGTAGTGGGCGGCGATGGATATGCAGGGGAGGAACAGAATTCCTGTGAAACTTGTGAGTGGCGGAGACGCGGATGACGGTAATACTTGACGCACCCATTCCAAGCCCCATTCCGATACCCTGCGCGAGAAAGTTTTGGTAATAGTGGTGTGGTTTGGCGAGGGAGAGCAAGAGGTACGAGACGACATAAACAATACTGCCGCCCACCATCATGTGGCGGAAGTATCCATGGTCAAACAACTGGCGCATGAAGACTTTTGAGGAGACTAGATCCCATAAACAAGAAAGCGGACTCACCCGTCCGCTGACGAACGACAGCGCAAACAAGAGGAAAGCCTGAACCGAGCCTATCCAGGAGATATCGGACGGCGGGTGGTCGCTGAGGTAAATTCGCGTGTAATAGTCCTGGTACACCGCAAAAGATTGTATCGTTCCTGTTGCAGCCAAAGGTCAAGTTTGGCCCCGGTCACTTGTGAAAGCGCACCAAACGTGCAGAATGTGCCCATCATCCTGGAGAGTTTTCAGTCTCTGAGGTATTCAACCGCAAACCACATACGCGCCAGCCACGGTGAGCCACGCCGTGCGTCCGCCCTCCGGAAAGGTGATTTCGGGCGGCTTATCGGGCTCCTGCGGAGGTAGTGTTGGGGACATCTCTTTTTTGTTTGGGCCATTCACTTCATCCTCCTCCGGATGGATGGATGGGGCCATGAGTCGGGATCGTCAAGTAGGTGTGCGAGCTGGACATGATAAAAAAGAAGGTCCGTGTGACGTGATAGTCACATTTTCTCATGCTTAATCAATCTTCCCACGTTGCTTCCCTTTAGACGCCACGTCCATGACGGTGTTGATATTGACACCAACCGGGCCTTCTCTCTATAGGGATCATCGGTCGGGGCTTCTCCATCCATCCAGGAAGAACAATGGCCCGTGGGGCTCAATTGCGGGCCTCTTTCTTGAGGCCGGGCTGCTTGTGCTGGAAGTAGCCGGTGGATGCAGCGACGAGGAAACCTGATGGGCTCCCGTGGTAAGCAACTAGCTCGCGGGTTTCAGTTGCCACGCACGGTATTCAGCTCGCGCGGCGTGACCAAGTCTACTCTCATATTTAATATTAACTCACGCACGCATAGTTCTGCCCTCCCAATATTTTTCGATCCAAGCATGTCCATGCACCGCGAGTTGGGCAAGAGCAAGCTTTTCCGGGACGCGCTATCCGATTTCACGCTTCCAAGTCCCGAACGGCATCAAATCACCTTCAACCGTGCTGAAGCCATCGCCCGTTCTTCCAGTACGTTTGTCGTCTGGTGGGGATAAACCAAATACTCATATAGTAACCACAGACTACACGTTGAAGGACGTCTACGAGATATCGGAGCATTTCTGGCTCGGCGCCATCGACCCATTGGTGGTTATAGACGTCGCAGCATACTCGACAACGCTTATCCAGTTCAACCTCGCCACTGGAACGCTATCTGCGTGGGCACATCGCCCGGAAATAGCAGAGCTGTGTCGTCAGCTTCTCAACTGGGAAGTCTCGTCAGTCCTTCTCTCAACACTTCTCTAACGCATTCTGACCTTGTTTCCAAAAGCGGCCATTTCCTGCTCACGGAAGTCGCGCATGGACTTGACACGCAGAACATCGAAACCACGGCGACACAGCTTCCCGATGGTGGCTTCGACCTCCACACTCCACATCCTGGGGCCGCCAAGTAGGTCATCGGAGATTGCCGAACTTTCCATTTTTATCGCTTGCCAGGTTTATGCCTTGTACGACGCCTGTTGGTGGGATTCCCCGTGTTGCGGTGGTAATGGCGCGTCTAATTGCCAACGGAAAATTCCATGGTGTCCGGCCCTTCTTCGTCCCCCTCAACGATGGGAAAGGGACGATGAACCAGGGCATAACGAGTCGGTGCGGTATCCATTCTCTTGTGTCTAACACCTGTTTATGTTGTTAGACCCCTGCCTGATCGAGCGGGGACGCGTCCCATGGGAAACGGAATCACCACCTTCACCCACGTCCACCTTCCGGCCACTGCCTTTTTGGGCGACTGGGAAACTACGCTGCCTCCGCGAATCCACCTTCTCGCGAGCATCTGGCGACTCGGGATCGGCACGACAACCTTGGCAGGCCTCGCCATTCCCGCGCTTCGTGTTGCAGCCCATGTCACTGCTGACTTCGCCCGCCAGCGCCAAGTGACAGACTCCGGGGGGAAGACGGTGCCAATACTGTCATTTAGAACGACAGGGACGCCGATCGTGAAGGCGCTTGGCCAAGCCGCCATCCTGGAAGCGCTTTATCGAGAGCTGCGACCGTATTATGCGGCGGACCCGAAAACCCGGAAAGCACACGCTGACGGTCGACGTCATAAATATGCGCAACTTCGCTCTCGACGGTGTTCAAAACATTGGCGGTCCACCACTGGCGCGAAACAAGCATTGTCTTGACGGATCGTCTCGGCGCGCGAGGCCTCCTTCTCGAAAATCAATTGATGTCTCTTGAGGTAAGTATTCTTCTGGGACTAATGTCGTCGAGATAGCCATCGTTCTCATACCGTTCCAGGCAGAGCTTCGGGGGATGGCGATCGCCGAAGGAGATGTCCTCGTACTATGCATTCGTCAGTCACATTCCGGTTTGGCTTGAATGTACCCCTGATGGCCTCCAGGACTTGCAACGGAATATCTTTTGGGTCGATATGCCCTCCCGCCACCCCGGTACCCCGACAGCCCGCTGGCAAAACACGAAAAGGGAATCTACGACGAGATGCGCGACATCCTCGTCGCTCTCGGCAGCGACCACCGCTCGGCCGCGTTCAACAGCGCGCTCCTCCCACGCAGTGTGCCCCTCGTACTCGCGATTGGACAGCGCATGGCCTACGAGGCGGCTCTGGAGGCTGGTGTCCACTCTGCTTTCGTCCGGCTCTACGTCTCCTCAGCCGTCCTGCAGGACCTTGCGTGGTACACCGAGAATGGCCTGACCACACGCGTAGAGGCGATGAAAGCGGAAGAAAGCGCTATTACGGAGGCGCTCGACATAATGGAGGAGATGTTGGACAAGAATGGGTGTGCGCCGCTGCTGCATGCCCCGATATTGTCGCAGAGTGCTTGGACGGAGTGGGTTGACACGTTGCCCTTGCATCGATCGAAACTATAGTAGACCATCAGTATCACCAGCACTATATAGTAGACGTGGTACTCACTTGCCAGTGCGGAATCAGATGGGGGTCAAAAACGTTTTCAGTGAAGCGACGCAGGACTGCATCCCGAACGGTTGAGTTGGTGAACGCAGTGGAGAGAATGTATGCGACTGACGGGATCTGTATAGCGGGTGCTCTTGTTAATAACTGTTGCCGGGGTTGCGGGTGGACCAGGGGGCCCGGGGGACCCACCCTTTTCCAGTACAGGCGTCGCCCACAAGAAAGATCTGGAGCAGATAAGTCACAAGAGATAAGACCTCGCACGAAACACACACCTTGATATTCTGTCTTTTTGGCTCTTGGGAGGACATGACTCGGACGGAGAGTGAGATGAGGGGAACCAGACAGGAGGCGGGGATGTGACTGCTAGTGACGCCCGATTGGTCAGAGTATTGCGAAACGACCCGAGATTGCATTTGAAAGCCCAAGTATGTGAGAACCGATTCATGCGGACACAGCGAGAAGATCTAGCAACGCTCGACCAAGTAGGCTACCACTGTAACTTGACTCGGCAGAGTTTGAGGCGGTCGTTGCTGCGGCAGGTCGACAGTCGCCCAGCGAAGATGAGGTATTTTATGCTGGGGGTGGGTTCAGATCGATGAATGCTGGGTGCCCGCGCACGAGGGATAGTGGCAATCGGGAACAACCATCGCCTGGCCGAAAAAGGAAATCGTCATCATGTCCTTTTCCCGTGCGACCTCCATCATCCATGTCCGCCGTCTAGTTTACCAGCATGCGGCACACAGGCCGCTGTTCTTCGTCACATCCCTCGTAGACACTCCGTATGAACGGGCGTGTACAGAGCTCGGAGACCGATGACGTGGCGCCTTGGACTGGGAAGACGACGACGACAAGCAGGCAACGTGGGGTTATATCGTTGAGGGGGGTTATGCTGGGGCCTTTTGGAGGATGTTAGGAGACTTCGGCGGGCTTCACGGTGAGTTATGCACTGTCTAGTGTTGGTCCATACTCGCCTTCATTGCCCTTTTGCAGTCCAGGCCTCGCTTGAATTCCACCTCCACACGCGGGTTCTCTTTCCGTATACGCCCTCAAGTACATCTTGGAGCATTTATTCGTACGGGCTGTGGCATCCTGCAAGACCGGGACTATCGTTGTCGCTTGGCCGCCCACGACCGCCTCAGACTGTGCAGCGCGTTTGGCTAAAGACGCATACTTATGCGCCCTCAACGTGGATGTCGACCTTGGGGCGACTCTATGCAACATTGTGTATGACCCCAGGCGCGTTCTTCGGCTAGATTTTTTTGAATCGTCAGGCTCATTTCCTGCAGAATTCGCGAAAGCCAGCACTATCGCTCTATTCCTCCATCCTCTTTCTTCCCCAAACCGTCCTCTCCCTTCTTGGACTCCGATACGCGTCGTCTTCGATAGTTATATGCAGGCACGACACTGTTGTCGTCGCTTCTCGGCGCATATGGGTGGCCAAGCCCACAGGTCGCATAACTCCACTCCGCGTTTTACACCAAAAAGAATAGCTTGCCGCGCATCCTCTCATATGCCTATATTGCCCTCCACCGCTCTGCAGGGAATCTACGGCATCATTCTCGACTTCGCCAATGCGGTCCTCCTCCCGCATCCCGTAGCGCCGTCCGTGGCTAGTTTCTGGCCGCGAAAACATACTCCTCGTGCATTGGAGGTCCTTGACTTCTGCCAGAACGACATATGGTCCCCGAAAGACTTCCTCCGCCACTTTGTTGTCCACGAGGCGCCGAGGCAGCTCATACACTTTCTTTGCCGCCCACAGCCTTTTCCTACGCAAACCACGACTTTCCCGACTATAATTTTTGTCCATCCACCACGGCAATTTGCTCTGGGCCCATTTCGCGGCTCCCTTCTCGAGCTCGTCGTCCCCTTCCTCGACTTCTTCGTTCTGTCAAACTTTTCCGTCATATCCATGCTCGTTAACGTGAAAGCGGGTTGGAGGAAGACATTAGCACTCTGCAGCACTGATGCTAGATCTTGACGCCACCAATGTGGACCGCAGATGTCGCAGAGAACCATCATATCACATATCGCTTTTTCCAGCGGTCTTGACCTCTCGCCTCTCAGCCAACGACTTTCCCGATGACGATTTGGGCTAATGGAACAAGCGCTTTTGTCCCGCCACCGTTCTCCGGACTTGTTCTTGATGTCGTTCCTCCGTTCCTCGACATATAACTTCCTTCCACCTTACTCTCATCCGCCTCCCCGATATGACACCACCATACGACACAGGACGCTCTTGTACTCAAGATGAACACTCAAATGCGCACAAACCTGTTCCGTTCCGTCTTTCGACGGCCATATGGCGACCGAATACGAATTCGCCCAGGAAGCCTTTCGAGCGCACACAAACGACCTCTCCGACATCACATGGTGCTCTTCTGTCGCGCGCACTTGTCCGAGCACAATTGTGTCTGCCAAATTCGAGTCTCCGGATACCCTTCCTCCTCCCCACCGCCATATCACATTATTCTGCGCCCTTTTTTGCCTCCAAACTCTGGGTCGCGCATGCTCCGTGGCACCAACACACGGAGTAACCATGTCTGGAGTGGCAATTAGTGCGCTTACCTCTCTTCGTCGATAACTCCGCCGGTAGAAGCTTCGCCTCGTTTCGGCTCTCCATCCATCGTTACCATCGACTTGCTTAGCAGCAATACTTCGCTGTACTCCCCGCCCAAGACCACGAGGGATGTTATGGCCCTGTTCCGACTTTGCCTCCCGGACCAGACGATGAGCGCTGTCTTCATTCGTTTTTCGCGCACTTGTGCTGTATGTGGAGAATAAGCCAAATACATCGTCCAGGACCAATGTCAACGGTAGCCTTTTGTCAGCTTGAAGAAGCCGTGTTGCGACGCTTCTAAATATGGGGGCGCGATGCTATCTCAGATGACGAATGCTGAAGGTTGTCTGGATTGACATGGGGTCGAGGGGGAGAGTGGGTTTTGGATGTCTGCTTTGGGGCTCGCTGTCTTGCTTGAAGCGAATGGGACATATAGGTACTGAGTCTTCTTTATACCCATATCTACCCCATACATATCTCTAACGATACTATATGGCGACGATCTTCTACATATTCATCCTGGTCTCAGGCTTATTTTCGGCTTGTTTTTGCCACACATATCATTCCCTTGTCCTGGACACGTACAACGTCGGCCCTCCTCTTTATAGTTTAGATGCGGACCGTGTCCATCAAGACAGTGTCGACGTCGCCGCGCTCTTCATGATAAGATGAATAGATTACCGCAATCGATATCCAAGGGGGTATCAGAAAAAAAATAACCGGAACATACGTTGGACTTTTTGTTTAAGCCCTTCCAGGGGACCCACCGACCGTGACTGTGACGTGACATTACCATATTAGGAAGGTAATTCACACAGTCATGTGATCTGATAGCATCAAACTCAGTCAGTCCCCTGAATTTCCAAGAACATTAATAGAAACATAGACTTCTAGCTATATATATATCTTGCAGACAAAGTCCTGATATAGTCATTGGCTTACAAATCTCACTCCAGAGTACAGATATCCATCCCCATATGGTCTGATTTGTCACAATGTTCCATCTGATGATGAGATACTGAAAAATAACCACTTGTGAGATTGTTGATACTTAATTATGGATGTATAGTGCACCAAACAGTACTTGTAACCCATCCTAAGACAATTTTGACTTACCATTTCAGCCAAAAAGTTTCTACCAAAAAATTTTTTTAAGGGTCCGGAGGGGGGACCGACCGACCATCCCGGTTGTCACTTTTTGACACGTGACACCCCCTTGTCGATATCCCTTCGATGGGTCCGAGTCGAATGTGTTTTGTGCGAAGCGGCGGCATAACTGCAGCCCGAATGGTTGACGTTGATGAACCGCGCGGAGACTAGTATGCGACGTACGGGACCTGTATATTGAGAGCTGTCGTTAATCCCGGTTGTCGGGGCTGCAGCAGGAGGACCTACACTTTTCCGGTACCATCGTCGCCCACGAGGATGATCTTCAGATGATTAGGCACAATAGGCAATACCATGCACGAGACCGATACCCTGATATTCCATGTTTCTTGCTCTTGAGACATGACGCACAGGTGAGATGAGGGGAAGCAGAAAGGGATGCGACTGCCAGTGACGAGTGAATCGTGATGCCGATATCGATTTGTCAGAGAGTAGCGTGGCGAAGGGACTCGGGAGGGCATTGGAAAGCCAGCGTATGTGAGTGCATTGATGAGCCCCCAGCGAGTACGTCTAGCAAGTATAGTCGAGCAAGATGGGCTACTTCTGGCTACCTGGAGCAATAGCTTGAGCGGGTCGTCGCCACAGAGGGCGCGCAGTCGTCTAGTGAGAATGAAGTACGGTATGCCGGGAGTCAGTTCGGATTTATGAATGCGCCGTCGCTGGTGCACGCGCGCGAGGAATGGTGGCACTCGGGAACAACCGTCGCCTATCCCTATTGGATTATCATTTGACCCCCCCTGGGATGGCTGTGCTGCATACCCTCATTGCCTAATCCGGTAAACAAAGGATTTTCACATACATATCATTACCCTATTTGGACATTTCAGGATCTTCGCCCAGGGATCATAGCCTAAAGTGGAAGGTACCCTGACTTTCACAAGGGTCCCTAGATTAAGGGTCCCACATATGGACCCTAGCTTAAGTGATGACCTCTCGCACTATACAACTACTGATTTTTTTAACAAAGTCATGCCTACTAAATTCAGGGTTTGTTTGGTATGTAAACAGAGCCCAGGTACTATTTGGCTTTCATCATTAGCCAAACATCCACTGGCTTGTTGGCCAGATGTTTTATTCTTCAGTGTATCATCTAGTGATCGCCTTGGGGTGAGCCCTAGGTTATGCGCTCCGCTCTCAACTATATCCTGAGCTTGCCTAGCTCAGGGTTTATTTGGCTGGTAAACAGAGCCCAGGTACTATTTGGCTTTCATCAATAACCCAACGTTCACT